CAGCTTCTTCAATTACTTTCAAATTCTCTTTGATAGTTTTTGAGCTGTAGACAAGACCAATATCATTCACATAACTCAGAGATCGCACTATTCTCATATTTCTATTTTTGAATAGATATACAGTGTATATTGCAAATAAAATGGGTGAGATTGGAGACCCCTGTGGTACTCCTATTTTTATCTCAGTCTTGTCTTGTTTCATTTCATCAAAGAAGAGTTGTATAATTCTTTTAGACATAAAACAGTTAATCCATTTTATTAGGGAAAGTGGCAGTTTTAATATCTTCAATGTCTGAATTAACTTTGACTTTGAAACATGATCAAACACTTCTTTTATATCAATAAAAACTGCAGTTGAGACCAGACTCTCATGCTTTGCTATTTGAATATCATGAACAACTGAGAGAACAGTGTCAATTGCAGAACACTGTTTTCTATCTTCCATTTGTTCACTGAATAAAAGAGAATCATCTATAGAGCTTATAAAAGATAGTTGAGTAGCTATTATCTTTTCTAAAACCTTTCCTAAACAGTTCAATAGAGATATTACTCTATATGACTTAGGAATTGAAGTTTTTCTATTAGATTTTGCAAGAATCACTCCAGTGGCTTCTCTCCAGCATTCAGGATGATATCCATTTTTCAAGAGATTGAAAAAGAGCTCAAAATATTCATTCTTTAAGTAGGAATATGTATTTTGAATAATCAAGTGATTAATTGAATCAGGACCTGCAGCAGTTTTAACAGAACTTGAGAAGATAGCTGACTCTAATTCATCTTGTGTAAGATCAGGCCATTCCCAGTCATTTTTATCAATGTAGTTGAGAAGTGATATATTCTCTTCCTCTGAATCTGAATCTGAATCTGGTGAGTTCTGAAAGAGAATTCTCATGAAAGCTTGACATTTTTCCTCAAAAGAGTTTGCTGTATATGATTCATTCTGAAACTCATATTCTAGAGCTGGAAGTTTTGCTACACTTCTTGTTTTAGTATAGTTAAAAGCTTTAAAAATTTCCTTTCCTTGTGCTTCTTCAAGAAATTTATTCCAGCAGTCTGTTTTAGCTCTTTTAATATCTGAAAAATATTCATTTCTGACAGTTTTGAACTCTTCATCAGATATTACATCATTCTTCCAATCTCTTCTAGCAGTAGCTAATTCTTTTCTTTTAGATGAGATATTCTCATTCCACCAAGGTTTTGAATACTCAGAAGATTTTCTTTTTGGAATATTATCTCTAACACTTGTTAGAATGATAGATGTAATAAGCTTCACTCTATTCTCAAGCATTTCATTTGAGATATCTTGACCAGAATTTCAATATAGCTCATTCTGTCTTTCAGATTTTAACAGTTTTATGCTTTCTTCAACTGCTTTTCAATCAGCTTTTTCAAAGTTATACTGATTAGAGAGAAGAGGATTTTCACTCATTTGTTTTTCACTCAGTTCAATATCAAATTGAATAATCTCATGACCTGATCCTGATGTCTCATTTGAATCAATAAACCAGTTTACAAGTCTTCTTTTCATTAGATTTTATGACATGAATGTTAGATCTATAATAGACTTCTGTTTCATGCCTTTTCTAAAGAATGTTTGTTGATCAGACTTATTAACCAAATCTATTGAATGCTCAAAGGTTCATTCAATCAGATTATCAGCTCTCACTGCTCTCTTGCATTCTGAATTCCATCAGGGATGATGTGCATTGAAATCTCCTGCAATTATAGAGTTTCTTGATGAAGTTATGTTCAGAAATCCTCTATCAATTGTCCAGATATTGTTATTTTCCTTCAATGACTTTTCATTATAGATATTTATGAGCTGTATAGTATCAAACTCATTTTCTTTATCTATAATATCACCCACCAGAATATCAGGGTCAGACATGATATCAAATCTTAGATTAAATTGATATCTTGATCTCTTTCTTCCATAGATCACTACTCTTGACTTTATCTCAGACTTTTGAGGTAAAAAGCAGTAGTAGCTTGAATGAGAAATGACATATTTTTGCTCAGCATCAAAATTTGGCTCCTGAAGCAGTACAAAATCAACTTTTTATTCAAATGCAATTTGAAGACAAGAATAAATGCAATTTGAGTTTCTATTCACATTATTTTGAATAAATGTGATTTTTGAAGAGTTTTTAAACTTTTTTTATTGTTTTTGTTGTATATTCATACTAAAAGAGAGTAGAGAAGAATCTAATCACTATCATCAGATAGTAGATTATAACTGTTCTGAAAAGTAGGAATCTCAACTGCTTGCATTATATCTAGTTTATCACCAGAGTCATTTCTCAATTCTCTAATCTTAACAGAAGTTTGAGGATTCAAATTCTATTTACATTTTGCTGGAGAATTGAAGTTTGAAGACTTAGATAATTGAGAGTTTCTTCTTTTTGAGCTTGCAGTTGTGAGTTTACTGACTTGACTCTTCTCTTCAGTTCTAAATTGACTTTGAGCTTCATCTTTTCTCCAGTTCTTTGAGTTCTAGGAGCAAACATACATTCTTTGAGCTAGATGCATGTTTTTCTTTGCAATTAG